CGTCCCTCTTGGGGTCGGGTCGACGGTCCGCGGCCGCCCCGCCGATCAGCGCTGCCGCTGGCCAGGCCGACGGTCCGCGGCCGCCTTGCCGCTTGCTGGGGCCCGGCCTGCAGGGAAGAAAGGTATACCCCCCAAAAGGGGTTCGATCGAAGACGAAGTGGGCGGGTATCGAGGGTTTGGGAACTACGCGTTATTGGACACTCGAGCAGATAAGTGCGAACAGTCTTACAATGATTGTTGTTGTTCTTGTTGAGAACTCATTTCCAGAGAGTTATTGTTGTTGAAAATCGGAAACGGTTCCACGCTCTCTCGCTTCGACTTCGGCTAGATTTTATCTCAAAGCGAAGCTCCCGCTCGAGCGTTGGCTTGAATGTAAAAGTGGGCCCTTCGAGGCCCGGCTACGACGACAACGGCTCCCGCTCGATTTTTCCTCACAGTTTACCCCGAGACACCCTGGCCAGAGAGGCCCCCGAACTCAGGAACGGCGCTCTCGCTCGAGACTTCTTCGCAATTTAACCAAATTGGCGGAGGCCCAGCCACGACGACAAGGGCTGCTGCTCGATACTTCCTCACGGTTTACTCCGAGAGCTCCTGGCCAAGAATCCCCCCGAACTCAGGAACGGCACTCTCTTTCGAGACTTTCGCGTAATTCAAGCAAGTTGGTGCAGTCCCCGGACACGGCTACAAGGGCTCTCGTTCGATATTTCTCCGTAGGTATTCCGAGAGTTCCTGGCCAGAGAGGCCCCCGAATTCAGGAACGGCGCTCTCGCTCGAGACTTCTTCGCACTTCAGTCAGTGGCCGACAAGGAAGAGATTCCCCCCGAAAGGGGGTGCAATCGAAGACGAAGTGGGCGGGTATCGAGGGTTGGGGTATACGGAGTACAACACGCGTGCCAGTATGAGCGAACAGTCTTAAAATGATTGCTGTTGTTGGTGAATTCTTACTACTGAAGAATAATTATTGTTGATCCCCTCCGCGCGGTGACCATTTCTTTCAATGGCGGTGCTTCACCCGGGGCTCGCACCTTGCTTTTATTTGGGAAACTAGGGTCAAACAGCGTTGTTGGCCCCCGGACTACAACAACAACGGCTTCCGCTTGATATTTCTTGACGATGTATTATCAAATCGTGCTCTCGCGCGGGACATCCTCACAATTTATTCAGGAACCGCGCTCTCGCATAGGACTTCTTCGCAATGTATTCAGACGCCGCGCCCTCGACATTCAGGAGTCACGCTCTCGCTTTGGATGTCCTCAAGATTGATTTGGGAATCGAGCTGTCGCTCGAGACTTCGTCGCGATTCATGCAGGACGCACGCTTCAGCAACCCTTCCTGCTCGACCTGGCCGCGTGAGCCCGTCTTCCCGACCCGCCTGGTAGGGTGTACCCGCCCGATCTGCCCGTCTGGTTTTGCCACGTGCTTTCTGCTCCTAGCCCGTGCTCCATCCTCCTCCCTCCCCCTTGTCCTTCCTTCCATGTGTCCTCTCTTCCCCTGCCTTAGAGGCTGCACGAAATACACGCTTCTACTTGGGAATCGCGTTATCGTTTGAGACTTCCTCGCGTTTCATGCAGGACTCAGGCTTCAGCATCCCGCCTGCTTGACCTGGCCGCCTGGGCCCGCCTTGCTCCTAGCCCCCCTCCTGCTAGTTTCTCTCGTGCTCCATCCTTCTCCCTCCCCCTTCCATCCGTCCTCTCCTCCGCTGTTTTAGGGGCTGCGCTGCATGCGCGTGGCGGGTAAGGAAGATATGCCTCAAGGGGGGTGCGATCGAAAACGAAACTGGCGGGTACCGAGGGTTTGGGATATAGGTGCTGTTTGGTACGTGAGCAGATAGGAGCGAACAGTCTTGAACTGATTGTTGGAATTGTTGATGTTGTTGATTATGACGATGAGTTCTCATTTCTCAAGGATCATTATTGTTGATCCCCCCGGTGAGCATGGTATTGTCTTGAATTGCAGAGTTTTTCCCGTGGCTCGCACTTGTTTTTTGTATAAGGGACTGTCTGTGGTTACCAACCTGCGCTCCTGGCCCCTGGTTTACAACAACAACAACAACGGCTGCCGCCTTATACTTCCTTACAATCTATTTCAAATTCGCGCTCTCGCGCGGGACGTCTTTATACTTTATCCAGGAATCGCGCTCTCACGTGGTATTCCTTCGCAAGTTATTACAGCGCCGTGCCCACAAGACTCACACATCATGCTCTCGCATTGGATTTCCTAACGAGTTACTTGGGAATCGCGTTATCGCTCGAAACTTCCTTCATGATGGGCTGACGCTTTCGCGACACGCCCGCTCGACCTGGCCGTCTGGACCCGCCCGTCCGACCTGCCCGTTGGGTCCGCCCGCCCGACGCGCCAGGCTGGTTCTGCCGCTTGTGCTTTCTGCTCTGAGATCTCCTGCAGCTCCTGTGGCCGCAGCCATTCTGTCTCCAGTCGCAGGGGTTCGAGGGGTGCCATCCCAACTGCTACCTGTGCGCAATGCCCGTGGAGCTTTGCGGCCCAGGTTTGACGGCACGCTCTGTGTTCGACGGCGCTGCGCCCAGGCGGCTCCGCGTTTTGCCGTCGGCCGCTGGAGAGTTCAGCATCGGCGAGCCTGCGAAGGTCCACGTGGAGTGGAACTCACCTGTGCCCATCGCGCCCCGCCAGCGCCTTGCAGCACCTGCCGAGCAGGGCCAGCGTCGCGATGCCGGAGAGGAGCAGACCCTCCCGAGGCGGCCAGTGCTCAGGCTGGCGGAGCTCGAGGAACTCTCCGCGCCCCCAGCCGCCCGTGCAGGAGGGCAAATCGCCGCGGGGTGCGGCGGCCGCGGAGCCGTCGGTGGCGGCCACATCTCGGGCTGCCCGCTAAGCCTGTCGGCACCATGCCGGCCGGGCGCAGCTACGATGCGGGCCCCTGCGACCAGGGCAGCCGGCGGCTTCACCACGGTCATGCTGCGTCACGTACCGGAGGCCGTCACCCAGGAGAGTTTCCTTCTGGAGCTCGACAAGGCGGGCTTCGCCTTCAAGTACGACTTCGTGCTCCTCCGCTCGGACTTGCGGAGCCGGTTCAACTCTGACCGCGGCATGGCCTTCGTCAATTTCTTGACCTCTCAGGTCGCTGGCGCGTTCTCCGAGGCGTTCCACGGCGCCTGCGAGGTGGGCGGGCATGCGCTGGAGGCTGGCTGCCTCGAGGTGCTCCCAGCGAAGATCCAGGGCTTCGCGCTCAACGCGGCTCAGCACTACCCGTCCGCCAGCGTCGCTCGCCGTGGCTGCCGGAGGGCCCGCCCAGTCTTCCTTCCCAAGACTGCAGAAGCCCACGCGCTACTCAGGAGTCAGGGGGCCACATGCGAACCCTACCCCTCCCCCCCACGATTTCTGAGGGGGAGGGTGGGGTTCACTTCGTGAGGGAGCTTCCGAGCGAAGTGAACCCCACCCTCCCCGTCGAAAATCGTGGGGGGTAGGGGTAGGGTTCGCATCTGGTCCCCTAGGAGTCTCATGCGCAAGCGCCAGCTGCAGCCCAAAGCTCTCGCCGACTGAGGCAGGCCGAGGTCGATGGGAGTAGGGGCCTGAGCACGCACCGGGCGGGCCTAGGACTGGGGTAAGGCTTTCCAGCGTGTTCCGAAACGCTCTCAGAGCGTTCCAGAGCATTCTGGAGCGGCCGCTCATTTGTCCTGGTCATGGCTTCTTCTTAGCGCACGTTCTGGCGGCGCTCTTTTCGCCACTTTTGGAAACGTTGGCTGTATCCCTGCTTGCCCAGGGCGTCCTCGTGGCTGCCACCGATGCCGTGAGCGTACGCATTACAGGAACGATGCTTACCGAAAGACTTCAAAAGTCTCCGCGGGCGGTCGAGCGAATGCCAGCAGGCCTGGCCGCCTGAACAGGGCCGCCTGCGGGCCGCGATAGCCAGGGGTTAAGGGTTTCCCGCGCGCTGCAGCTCTGCGTGCGGCGGGGATTCACGGTGCACCCTCCGCGTGGGCACTGGGCGAAGGCTCAGCTTGCTCCGTTTGGAAGCCGTGTTTTGGTCTTCTGCACTCCGAGAAGTAGCAGGAGGGGAAAAAGCACACAGACACAATTGATCGTCGATTCCCCAGAAAACATGGGAAAGTGTGGGAAGTGGGGGGGAAGACAAAACCCAGAACATGTGGGAAAATATGGGGGATCTTTTTATTTGTTTTTTTTTTTTGTGTGCCCCAGTTCCCCTGCAGAGCAGCTGGCGCTGCAAGCCCTGTGCACTCTTTCTCGCCTCTTCTCTGGTCTGCCGCCTCGTCCTCTGTCTGGGAGGCGAGTGGCAGCGCGGTCGGAGAGGTGCTCCTGTGCCGGGCGTGCTCTGTACGTACGTGCTTAGCTGGCCCGTGCAGGGCTTCCCGCGCTCCGCGTCGCAGCTCGCGGCGGGGATGCACCCCGCACCCTGCCCAGCGTGCATCTGATGCAGCGCAGTCGGAGAGATGCTCCTGTGCCGGGCGTGCTCTCTACGTGCTTAGCTGGCCCGTGCAGGGCTTCCCGCGCTCCGCGTCGCAGCTCGCGGCGGGGACTCTAAAACGACGCGAAGATCGGGACAAAATCGGATCGGGATAACTCGAAATCTCTGAGAATCGGCGGGTTTGGAGGATGTATTGGGCGCCGCGGCCACTCCAGAGCGTTCCGGAACGCTCTGAGAGCGCTCCGGAACGCTCTGAAGCGATTTATCCCGATCCTAGCCTTGTTTTAGATTCACCCTGCACCCTGCCCAGCGTGCACCTGATGGAGCCGTTTTTGGGTCTTTGCAGCCTTCGAAGTACCTGGCGCCGCAAGCCCTGTGCAATTGCTGCCCCCTTCCCGCCCCCATTCTCGCCTCTTCTCGAGTCTTCTGCCTCGTCTTTGTTTGGAAGGCGAATGGCAGCGCAGTCTGAGAGATTATTATGTGCCGCGCGTGCTCTATATGTGGCCGGCGGTCCCACGCCGTCTGGCTGCGCCGAGATCAGGGAGGTACATGGGGCCCCTTGAGCAGAGCATGGGAGGTCGAGAGCGAGGTGGGGGGTGGGAAGCGGGAGGGACAGGAGTGCGATCAGAACGCCGCAGCCTCGGTGGGGCTACTTGGCTTTCGTAGCTCAGGCTTCTCTCGCTGCAACATCTTGGCGGCCGTTCAAGCCCTTCGGACTTCTTCTTCTGAAGGCAAGCCGCCGCTACAAAGATCCGAGCGTACAGGTCTCAGTATGCTTTGACCTGATGCCTGTTTCAAATACCCTGCGGGTGTGATCGGATGTGTGCTTGGCTGCGCACGACCCCTCGCCTCTCGTACGCTGCCTCCCTCCTCCCTTCTAGCCGGGACAAACGGGCCCCCCTCCTCGTTTTCCTCGCCCGTCTCTCGGCAAGACCCGTCGGCTGGGCTTGGCCCTCGCAGCGGGCGCCTGCAGCCTCAAAGGGCTGCACCCGGCACGCTTCCTCGCGGGCAGGCGGCCAGGCGGCAGAGGCCGGGTGGCCTGTTGGCCGCTGTCGCCACCGCTGCCGCCCCGAGCCCTCGGCTCCTGGAGCCACCCCTTGGCCGCCCTGCCGCTGCAAGGGCTCTGCGGCGGCGCGCCGCATCACTAACCCCCAATTCCCGAATGTAACCCCCTGGGCATAGTGCAGTGCCGTTTTTAATACATGCTCCGCGTGCGGATCATGCATGGATTCAGTATGAAAAACAACGATGAGTTCATGCATAGATTTAGTCATGAGTTAATCATGTATTAAAACCCTATGTTTTAGAACATCCGATGTGTGAAAAACTGCCCTGTAAAGTTCGGGGCCCAGGCGGGGCAATAAACGTTTCCCCGGATATCTCAGCACAGTGTTGCAGATGATGACGATGATGATGATCGGGGTTATCCTGAGCGTTCAAAAGAACAATCACAACACGTCTATCGGAGTCCGTCGGGAATCCCTGGGAAGCCCATGGAAATCCGTAGGACTCCTTAGGACATCCATCGGATTCCGTAGGAAATCCATCGGATTCCGGAGGAAACCCATAGACATTCGATGGAAATCCATAGGATTCCTGAAGATATCCATGGGAATCCTAAGCAAATCGATAGGGATCCTCAGGAAATCCATCGATTTTTTAAGGACATCAATAGGACTCCTTAGGAAATCAATGGGATTTCTTCGGGACTCCATCGGAATCCGAGTAAGATCCATAGGATTCCTTCGGATATCCATCAAAATCCGGAGGACATCTTGTGGATTCCTTAGGGATTCCATGGGATTCCTGAGGCAATCCATTGGAGTCCTTAAGCAATCCATCGGATTCCTTACGAAATCCATCGGGTTCCTTAGGGAGTCCATCGGATTCCTTAGGCAATCAACAGGGTTCCTCAGGAATTCCAGAAGAATCCAGTGGAAATCCTACGGAAATCGACCGGATTATTTAGGAAGTTACTCGAATTCTTTCGCAAGTCCATCGGATTTCTGTGGAAATCCGTCGGGATCCGATGGGAATCAAGTCTATGGGGCTCCTTAGGACATCCATCAGATTCCTCAGGAATTTCATCGGCTTCCTCAGGCAATCCATAAGGAATCCCATGGACATCCATACTATTTCCCTACCTAGGCTCTGCCTAGAAGGGTTCTTACTCGGTGTGCTTAAAGGGCCGGGCAGTGGAACGCGCCCCGGGCGGTTCCCCCAGTATCCGCCCCGCGGTTCTCCCAGTTACGTCCCCTTAGCTTGGCGTTGCTTATCTCATCTTAGCTTAGCTTATTTCATCTTGGCTTAGCTTCATCTTGGCTTAGTTTAGCTTCATATAGATGTTGCTTTCCTAGATCCTCCAACTCCTAGGTAGGGTCGCACTGGGATAATTCTTAGGGCATCCATCGGATTCCTTAGGGAATCCATCGGATTCCTTCGGACATCAATCAGATTCCTGCGGCAATCCATCGGATTTCTTCGGACATCCATGGGGATCCTTTGGAATTCCATCATGATCCTAACGACATCTAGTGTATTTCTTAGGGAATCCATTTGATTCCTGAGGAATCTATCGGAATCCGATGGAAAGCCATAAGATTCCTTAGGATATCCATAGGACTCCGCAGGACATCTAGTGGATTCCATAGGCAATCCATGATAACCCTTAGGAGACCTATAGGCTGCCTTAGGACATCCATACGAGTCCAATGGAAATCTACAGGGACTCTTGAAGATGATGCAGCTGATGATGATGATGCTGATAATTCAGATGCTGAAGACAATGATTCCTCGCTCTTGCGGCTCTGGGTGCTGGGCGAGAGTTGGTTTCTAGAGCTTGCCTGAGAGCTCGAGGTCCTTGACGGCTCTCGCCAAGAAACTTCTCTTGCGCATATGTTCAAACCACTCGCCCATGCAGGCTCGGCATCCTGTGGAGCCGTCCTTGCACGGGAGGCACTTCGCGCACGTTAGCGCTGCAACCAGTGCCTCCTCGAGGCTGCCGTACTTGGGCTCTGGCGCTGTCGGGTCACTCGGTGGCTTGGCCTTGCCCTTGCTCCTGGCCTTGGCCTTGGCCTTGGCCGTGGCGAAGTGGTTGTCGCTCGCGTCCTGCAGCTTCTGGATCCACTCGTTGCCTCGGGCGCACGCCCGGGTGACGCCGATGGGCGGCTTGCGGCCCTCGCCCCGGATCTCGCGCAAGGCGCGCCCGACCCACCTCGCCACCCAGAACCCGCAAGTCCAGCCATCCGCTTGGAACATCTTGTTGCTGCTCGCAGGGCGTTCCTCGGTAGTGCCGACGGCGCCGAGCTTTCGGAGGATCCTCGTGGCGGCCTGCTTGGCGTTCTCGGACGGCTGCTTGAGGGCGTCGCGGTACGGCCGTGCCCGTTTCTTGCTTGGACACCTTGAGGTAGGCGTAGTGCGCGGGGGTTTCCGAGCGCACCGCGATCAGCAGGTGATCGGCCATCTCGACTCTCTGGGCCCAGCGCTGCTGCTCCTCGGGCTGCTGGGCGGCGGGCTCGTCCTCGCCCTGGCCCTCTCGGGCCCAGGCGACGGCCGCCGTGGGCTCGACCGCCAGAACGTTCTCGAAGGGCGCCCACGCGCTCTTCGATCTCGCCGAGCAGCGCGTGCACCGTGCCCAGCTCGAGGGTGTCGCCCTTTTTTTGATTTGCTCGCAGTTGATGATCGCGCATTGCTTGGCGAGCTCTGTGCGCCGAGGTTCCCTGCTAGAGGCCTCCTGGATGGGGTCCGAGTAGATGTGGTCAGAAGGTGACGCAGCATCGCCGATGCATTGGCGATGCATCGGCTGTACATCGGCCATGCGTCGGCAACGCATCGGCGACGTCAGCGTGGAAAGAGACGGCGTCCACATCGAGCCGCGTCGGCGATGCGTCGGCGATGCGGCGCGATCCTCCGCCCCCATCTATTCGGATCCCATCTGGGAGGCCTAGACCTGCACATGCCCCAGTCTATTTTGAACTTGTAGTCCTGCTCGACCGTGACCTGCGGTGCTCGAGGTTTCCTTCGGACACCCTCAGGATTCCTTTGGGGATCCACGGGGCATCCATCGGATTCCAATGGAAATCCATGGTTTTCGTTGTAAACCGTAGGAATTCCGTAGGGACCCTACGGACATCCATAAGGTTCCTTGAGCAACAACGCAGGCTTGCTTAGGAAATCCATCGGACATGTTAGGACATCCGCAGGATTCTTTCGGAAGTCCGTATGATCATTCCTTACGACATCCATGATCTTCCTGAAAACATCCATAGGATCTCTGCGGACATGCATCGGCTTCCTTAGGGAAGCCATCTGGTTTCTTTTGGAATCCATAGGGTTCATGCAGGACTCACGCTTCAGCAACCCGCCTGCTCGACCTGGCCGCGTGGGCCCGCCTTCCCGATCTGCCCGTCTGGTTCTACCGCGTGCTGTCCGCTCCTGGCCCCCCTTTTCCTGATTTCTCTCGTGCTCCATCCTCCTCCCTCTCCCCTCCATCCGTCCTCTCCTCCCCTGTTCGAGGGGCTGCGCTACATGCACGTGGCAGGTAAGGAAGATCTACTCCCACAGGGGTGCGGTCGAAGATGAAGAGGGCGGGTACCGAGGGTTTGGGACACACGTGTTAAATGGCACGCGAGCAGATAGGAACGAACAGTCTTAGAAGGATTGTTGTTGCTTTGTTGTTGTTGATGTTGTGGTGATGATGGTGGTGGTGTTTGCTTTTCCGAGAAATCAGGACCCTTTCCCTGGGACCGTTTTCTCCATCCTGTGCCTTTTTTGGCAGCCCCGGGGCCCAGCAAAGGCCCGCAGAGGCCGAAACTTGCGCAAACCTTTCCGTCGTTTTTTTTTGTTCTCCACAAGGCGAGGTTGTCAGGGTTCTCTCTCCCTTTCCCGCGTCCTCCTTATGCAGATCTTTCCGCTGCAGCCGTGGCGTGCGCCATTGGCCGACCGAGGCCTCGCGCCCTGGCTACTCGAGCCAGTCTGCAGGCTGCGGCCGCAGCCCTCCGCGGGGGTCTCGCCTGAGGACCGGGCGCCCGCTCGGATCCTGCAGGGGAGGAGCAATAATCAGTGAGGAGGATGAGGACGGATGGTGATGGTGATGCTGATGATGATTGTGATGATGATGGTGATGATGGTGATGATGATGATGATGTTGATGCTGATGCTGATGGTGATGGTGATGAAGATGATAATGTTGATGCTGAGTTATTATGATGATGTTGGTGCTGATGCTGAAGATGATCAGGATAATGATGACAAGGATGGTGATGACGATGTAGATAATTATGATGCAGGGGAGGACGATGATGGTAATGACGATGATGATGCTGATGACGATGGCGCTGCTGATATTGTTGATGAATCTGGTGCTTCTGATGATGATTCTGACGATGGCGAAGTTGGAGATGACGATGGACATGATGACGATGACGATGTGCAGGATGAGGGTGATGATACGAAGGAGGATTTTCATGGCGAAGCAGATGATAACGAAACTGAGGACATGGATCAGGACGATGACGTCGGTGATGTTGAGGGTGATGGTGATGGTGATGACTATCGTAATGATGGCGATGACGATACTGATGGTTATTGTGGTGGTGGTGACGAGGATGTGGATGGCGGTGTCGGTGATGATGACCATGTGTTGGCGAAGGGGATGCTTATTAAAATGAAGCTGGTCCGTCATGATGGTGATGCTCGTGCCCGTAATGATGGCAATGTCGATGATGACGATGATAATGTTGATGCGGATGGTGTGTATGCTGAATATGATGATGATCGCGATGCTCATGCTTTTGCTGCCCCTGACGATGCTGATGATGGCAATGATGATGATGATGATGATGATGATGATCATGATGACCATGATGATCATGCTACTGTTGCTGAAGATGATGCTGAGGATGATCAGCTGCTAATTATGACGATGATGTTGTTGATGATCATGATGATGGCGATGTCGACGACGGCGATGATGATGATGGTGATGCTGACGACGATGATGATGATAGTGATGCTGATCATGATGTCGACTATGATGCTGATTATGATGCTTATGCTGATGCTGATGATGATACTGATCATCATGATGATACTGATGGTGATTATGATTCCGACGATGATGATAATGCTGCTGGTGATGATGATGATGCAGATACTGATGATGACGATGCTGATGATGAGAATGCTGATGGTGATGACGACGCGGCTGTTGCTTTTCATGACGATCATGATGATAATGGTAATGTTGTAGATGGTAATCATGAGGCTGATGGTGATGGAACTGGTGATGCTGATGATGCTGATGCTGTTGATGTTGATAATGAGGATGCTGATGCTGATGCTGCTGATGATGATGATGATGATGATGAGGAGGAGTGTGATGCTGATGATGCTGATGCTGATGCTGGTGATGATGATGCGTATGATGCTGATGATGAGGAGGGTGATGCTGATGATGCTGATGATGCTGATGATGCTGCTGATGATGATGATGATGATGGTCGTGGTGATGATGGTGATGGTGGTGTCGATGACTGTGGTTGTGATACTGCTGATGCTGATAAGGATGATGATGCTGATGACGATGAGTATGGCTATGATCATGATGATGATCATGCTGATGATGCTGGTCATGCTGCTGCTGATGATAATGATAATTGTCGTGATGGTGATGGTGATGATGATGCTGATGACTATGCTGATGCTGCTGATGATGCTGATGCTGCTGCTGATGATGATGGTCCTATGATGATGATGTTGATGCTGCTGCTGATGATGATGATGATGACGATGATGATGATGATGATGATGATGATGATGATGATGATGATGATGATGATGCTGATGCTAATGCTGATGCTGATGCTGATGATGACGACTATGATGATTCTGATTGTGTTGATGCTGACGAGAACGAGGCGCATGAGGTGCAGGAGGGGGAGCAGGAGTAGGAGGAGGGAAGGTTGTTGATGAGGTAGAGGTCATTGTTTATTGTATGCTTGCGTGGAAGCTGTCATATGTTCGATACCACATTTGTGTGGAAGAGGTACGGCGACATCAAAGAGGAGGAGGAGGAGGAGGAGGAGGAAGAAGAGGAGGATGAGGAGGAGGAGGAGGAGGAGGAAGACTCGCCGCACGCTGGCACAAGTCAGCATAAAGAGGAGCATGAGGAGGATGAGGAGGGGGAGGAGGGGGAGGAGCAGCAGCAGCAGCAGAAGCAGCAGCAGCAGACGAAGGCGGAGGAGGGGGAGAAGAACGAGGAGGAGGAATAGGAGGAAGGGGGTCTTGACGAGGGGGAGGAGGAGGGGGAGGAGGAGTATGAGGCGGTGGAGGAGGCGGAGGAGGAGAAGAACGCGGAAGAGGGAGAGGAGGAAGGGGGTGTTCCCGAGGCGGAGGAGGAGAAAGGGGTGGAGGAGGATGAGGAGGAGGAGAAGGCGGAGGAGGACCAGAGTAAGCCAAAGAGTCATCAACGATGTTGGAGTAAACCCTTCCTCGAAGCTCCCTCTTCATAGGCTCCTGCGACGGTTCATCTCCGCTGAGGGAGCTGCCTGGTCGGAAGACGACCGTCTGAAGATTTCGAAGCATACCAAAACATTATTCTCGGGATTCCAACGCCACGGATCAACCTGACTATTGCGTCTTGGCAAGCTTGAATCGTGCCAGAACGCCATTCCTGGGACTTCAACGCCGCGAACCAACGTAACTGTTGCACCCGCATAACCCTGAACCTTTCCAAAACACCATTTCTGTTACGTTGATTAGGGGGTCCGTGCAACTCTAGCAAATATTATGAAATCATGTGCGCGGCGCTAAGGCGAGGGCCACATTTTGAAAAGGCACCGTCCTCAATCCATGAAGCTCTTGCAAGTTTGTAAAACGAATGTGCGCGGCACTGAGGCGAGAACCACATTTTGAAAACGACCCGCCCTCAATCCGTGAAGCGGTTGCAAGTGGTTTCAACGAATGTGCTCGGCACGAAGGCGAGAACCACATTTTTGAAACCATTCGCCCTCAATCCGTGAAGCTCTTGCAGATTTTCGATGCGAATGTGCGCCGCGCTTAGGCGAGAACCACATTTTGAAAACCACTCGCCCTCAACTCGTGAAGTTCTTGCACATTTCATAGAAACGAGTGTGCGCGGCGCTAGGGCGAGAACCACATTTTGAAGACCACCCACCCTCAATCCGTGAAGGTCTTGCAATTTTTTTGATCCATTGTGCACGGCGCTCGGGCAAGAACCACATTTTGAAAACCACTCG